GAGAAGGCGATGGCCAAGGGAGTGGGTGGCTGTCCCCAGGTGTCCCCTGATGTCACTTCCTGTCCCCTAAATGTCCCCAAGTGTCCCCTGATGTCACTTCCTGTCCCCTAAATGTCCCCAAGGGTCCCCAATGTCCCCTGATGTCCCCAAATGTTCCCTCCAGTCCCTTCATCCCCTCCTGTCCCCCTCCTCCCCCCTCAGATTTCCACTGTTGCGAGAAGGCGATGGCCAAGGGGGTGGATGGCTGTCCCCAAACGTCCCCTCATGTCACCTCCTGTTCCCTAAATGTCCCCAAGTGTCCCCTGATGTCCCCAATGTCCCCTGATGTCCCCAAATGTCCCCTCAGATCCCTTCATCCCCTCCTGTCCCCCTCTTCCCCCCCAAAGTTCCACCGTGGCGAGAAGGCGATGGCCAAGGGGGTGGATGGCTGTCCCCAAACGTCCCCTCATGTCACCTCCTGTTCCCTAAATGTCCCCAAGGGTCCTCAGTGTCCCCTGATGTCCCCAAATGTCCCCTCAGATCCCTTCATCCCCTCCTGTCCCCCTCTTCCCCCCCAGATTTCCACCGTTGCGAGAAGGCGATGGCCAAGGGGGTGGATGGCTGTCCCCAAATGTCCCCTGATGTCCCCAAGCGTCCCATGATGTCACTTGCTGTCCCCTAATGTCCCCTTGTGTCCCCAGACTTCCACCGCTGCGAGAAGGCGATGGCGGCCAAGGGGGCGGACGCCACCCCGTGCCAGTGGTACTACCGCGTCTACAAGTCCCTTTGTCCCACCTCCTGGGTGAGTGTCACCTTGATGTCCCCAACGGGTCCCCCAGGGTGTCCCCAAGGTCCTCGGGGGTCCCCCAGCGTTTCCCCCTGGTCCTCAGAATCCCCCACAGTGTCCCCATGATCTCCACGTCCCCACGATGTCCCCATGGTGTCCCCATGGTCCTCGGGGTCCCCAGGGTGTCCCCATGGTCCTCACAATGTCCCCAGGGTGTTCCCATGGTGTCCCCACAGTCCCCAGAACCCCCACGGTGTCCCCATGGTTATCGGGGTCCC